AAAAATAACCATATGAAGATAAAGAACAGTTGATTTTATTAATGTTTTAAGATTCATATCTGTAAATGTATACATGTGCTGCGACAACAAATTTTAGTCAAATGATTTTAACGTTTAAATACTTTTAAGCTATAATACCTTGTTTCATTTATTTTCTCACCTTGAGTTCTTGAGAAAGAACATACAACAGAATTGAATGGTTATTAAATACAGTATTTCCTGTTGAAGTAATTGACTAAAGTCTTTTTCGTTGTTTGTAGTGTCCGTGTGTGTCCGTACTGCTAGATTTAAAGAAATAAAAAAAAAAAAAAAAAAAAAAAAAAGTCACCTACCTACCGAGAAATTTTTTTGGGCCCGGACGCTAACCAAGTGTTTTTTTTTATTTGGCCTAATGTATACATTTGTTTTTTTTTTCATTAAACCACATTCAAAAGAGGTAATAATGGTATGCTTCATACTGCACAAAATAGCTGAATTTTATGGACAACTTTACCAGTAAATACATATTTGCAATTAGAACATTGTTATTAGTGACTAACATTAACAACTCCTTGGTAGTATGACATACTGTACCTTATTACTACAGTAACTTGTAATAATTGTATGTATTGGTGCTAGACCCTGGCCAAAATACCACTGTACGCTTAGGCGAGACTTTTATTATTCCTTGTTTCACATACTTATTTTTTTAAAGATCATCGGAGGAGGGTGGGAAAAAATAAAAATAGAATTTTGTTTTCTTATTTAGCAAATAGTTTTGCGAAAAACATCCAGGCAGAGGAGAAAATAATAATTAAAAATTTATTGGTAAATGTAAAATAGGATGATTAAATGCTTCAAATTTATTTAATCATCTTTGGAGATTTCAAGGCAGCGGAGGGCGTAATAAAAATAAAGAAAAACTTTTATTTTTTTCTGAAATTTCAACTTTTTTGTGGCGGCAGGTGTGCTAATTGGCCAAAAAATAAAATTTTATTTTTATTTGAAATCATCAATATTTGCAGTCGGTGGGTTTGCTAAACAAGTCTCGTCTTACCGTATATCATATCGCTATTTACAGGTACCTGTATCATTTAATATTTCTATTGTCTTTTTGTTTCATTGCCCAGGATATTTACTGGCATGGTTTCAGCGAGATTTTTTACACAGGAAAGGTGCAACAGTTAAACATGTGTACTTTTCATTAACTGGCTTTGGGCTAGCCTACTTCTGCTATGGTATGTATACTTAACTTGAAAGCTTTCCAAGCCTAATTAAATTTATGAAAAAAGTGAGTTAGTGTTTGTTTAAAATGATTCATTTTTTCTGTAATATGGCCATAGTATGTTGGTAATGAAATTCAACATAATTATTGTTGAGTTATTAATGTAAGGAAAACCATTTATTTTATAATTAAATATGTTAATAAATATGTTATATCAACTGAATGTTCTTGTTTTGCTCATATTATTGTCAATAGTGACACTGTGAATATTATTTTATCCCATGCTGTTGATTTATATTTGTTAACCATTTATTGGCAAAGCAATTTTCATTACCAAGTTAAAGTAATGTACCAAAAAATAACCACACACAGATAATAAAAAAGTAAAACCTAAAAGTCTTAACCCTCTTTTTACACTTATATACAATCCTAATAATGATGTTATTGATTAATTTATATTTAATCAATTATTTTCAAAGAATTTCATCTGGTTCCATACGTATAGCAGAAAATTATCTGTTTTGTTGAACCAGTTAGTTGCTTACTGTAGCAAATGGTTTCAGCAACTGCTTCGGAAAGAAAGTGACCGAAGCAGTTGCTGAAACCGTTGCTATGGTAAGTAACTAATTTGTTCAACAAAACGGATGATTTTCTACTAATCAATATATTGATGTATGTTATATACAAACAACTTAAAATTAATTTCAAGAAAAAAAAAATATTGTGTTTTTCAGGTATCTATGTGTACCATTCATTGATTAGCATCCTAGTCAACTATTTATTATTAGCAGTCTTGGGTGGAACATTACCAGTGGTTGTGGTGTCCTTTATATTTAATCTGGTGAGTAAGAATGGTGCACACAAGACAAGTTTGTTCAGCAAGATTTTTGCTTGACAACATGATTATGATGAAAAAAATAAAGCTGCTACCCATACCGTACATTTAAACTTCTGTCCAATCACTTTACACACCCGCCTTTATCATTTGGTCTGTATACATATGTTAATATCCATAACAGTTAATGATAATTATGATATTTGTTTTTTTACAGGGTTACCTTGTGATAGCCTATCTTGTTGTATCTACTGATGATTATGACATCCTTTGGACAACTCCACAGTGCATCATGTGTTTACGGCTGATTGGATTGGCCTTTGACCTTTATGATGGCAATCGACCTCAGGTTAGTAGATTCTCATATCACAAGGTGTGGATTGAATTTTACATTTATACTAGAGGGAATGTATTTCACGCCGTCTTCTACTGTAGCATGGATCTTAACCCTTCTTGTCCCCTTTGCAGGAAGAACTGTCGAAAGAACAGAGTCAATTATGCATAAAGACGGCGCCAAGCCTTCTTCAGGTCACAAGCTATACATTCTATTTTGGAGGTTATTTTGTTGGTCCTCAGGTAAGTAAACTCTTTTGAGTGGAATATAGAAACCAACGCTCTTTAAAATAGACATGGGACAATGCAAGAATAAGTCTTGATAATGTGAAAGCAAGAGTCAGTTTTACACTGGGGACAATGCAAGAATAAGCCTTGCCAATGTGAAAGGAAGATCAGTTTCACACTGGGGACAATGCAAGAATAAGCCTTGCGAAAGTGAAAGCAAGATCAGTTTCACACTGGGGACAATGCAAGTACTGTATAAGCCTTGCCAGTGTGAAATCAATGATACTTTACTGTTGATAATGCCTTGATGTTCTGTAGTTGTCCTTGTGTCTTAATGTTTTGTCTCTTGGGGCATCCTCTTATTCAACTCCGGGAACAAGAATCTTTTTGACAAACATAACCCCTTTACATATGATCATCATCAATTCTTTTAGTTTGCGATTCGCCGTTTCCAAGACTTTGTTGATGAGAAGTTCCTGGCCAACACGGATGGTAAACCTCCAGATACGACTCTACCAGCCCTGAAACGTCTTTTCCTTGGAGTTGTGTATGCGACTGTCCACACAATTGTAGGTTCTATGTTCACCACAGAGTACCTCACAAGCCAAGAATTTGATGTAAGTTTTGAATTTGAGGTTAAATGGTGGTATTAATTGAAGGGTGCATTTCTTGTGTTGCTTAGGAGTGGCATAGGCAATCAATGGGATAATAAATGTTTTACAGTAGGTAAAAATTTGATCGCCACTGAACTTCATGTGGTTGAGTATGTTCCAGGAAGCAGATAATGTACAAAATTGTGTATTAAAAAAATATATATATGATTTGAATAGCAGAGAAATCTATCTCAAAAAGAACTGCTGAAGGTGGTCCATTCCCTGGTCATTGGATACAAAATAAATGATACACAATGTCCAACTTCCACTCCATAGCAGGAATCTATCATCTAGAAGCTACCTGTGCCACCAACCCTCCTTTGCTTTGTTCCTTTTAGGGGCATTGAGGAGCACAGATCCAGATCCTAGTTATGGAAATGGAATCGGTTTGTATAGCGCCTTGCACAATTACAAATCATTTCAAAGAGCTTGAAGAATATGGAAAAAAAAGAAAACTAACCCATGAACTATCCTCAAACTAATCAGAAACAATTTACCAAAGAATCAAAATAAGAACTGTTAGCGGTATCCAGGTACTGCTAACGATTAGCAAGCGCTATTGGTTAGCAAGTGAGCGCGTTTCTATCATCAACCAATAACACGGATGCATTTACAATTTCCATTTTCTTATTAGCCAGTGATTCGATCATCATATTCTTGGTATCCGGATCGGGATTTTCTCGTATGGATGCACGGCAGCTAACGGTTAGCAGGTTCCGGATCCTGCTAACCATTAGCTGCCGTGTGACAACATAGCCATAGAGTATCTGGCACAAGGACAGGTGCATAGTGACCGACACTGTTCTCAAACTCGTGACCTTGATTGTTTATGTATATTTCTTTTTTTCTTAGAACTCATCTTTGCTATACAAGGTGTTTTTTGTTGCTGTCTGGGGTAGAATTTTAATTGCAAGGTACATTAGTGTCTGGCTATTTGCTGTAAGTATTCATTTCAATTCCTTTTATTAAATTAACATTTGGATGATTAGCACCTGTGGATGTTGAGGCTTGCCATCCCAATCCAGCATCAGTGAACAAAATGTTAAAATTTACTTTTTAATATATTTTCATTCTCCACATTATAAGCTTTAAAATGGTGGCTCATTTACTGGAATCAACTTATTATTGCCAAATATAAAGTTGCTAAATATAAAAGTAAAAGTATAATGGTTTCTGTGTACTAAAGTATACAATACTGCAACATTCTTGCTAACTACTCAGTTTAACATTAGTGACAGTATGTTGGAATATGTCTTATATTTAGCACTTATGTATATATGTAGTGAAATTTATATAGCGCATAATACCAAGGTCTCTATGTGCTGAGTGAACTAAAAGTAAAAAGGGAAAAAACTAAACCAAGATCTATCATAAGCTAACCAAAAGAGACCAAATTAGGACAAAAAAAAAGACCAAAAAGAACAACACAAGCAGAGGAACCAGAATCACCACACTGTTTTCCTGCAATTTAAATATTACTGGCAAGCAGTAGTTGGTAGGCTCACACTTAGTGGATGTTTGTATTGTCTTATGCATCATTTGCACTTTGCTTTTGTAGCTCTGCCCTATATTAGAACTTTTAGATGTTGCTATTGTACTATATTAACACTTGAATATTAGATTTGTCCCATATTAGCACTTGTGGATGTTGCCTTTGTACTATATTAACACATACACACGTAGCTCTGTCCCATATTAGCACTTGTGGATGTTGCCTTTGTACTATATTAACACATACACACATAGCTCTGTCCCATATTAGCACTTGTGGATGTTGCCTTTGTACTATATTAACACATACACACGTAGCTCTGTCCCATATTAGCACTTGTGGATGTTGCCTTTGTACTATATTAACACATACACACGTAGCTCTGTCCCATATTAGCACTTGTGGATGTTGCCTTTGTACTATATTAACACATACACATGTAGCTCTGTCCTATATTAGCACTTGTAGATCTTGCTATTGTACTAAATTAACACTTGCACAAGTAGCGTATTAGCATTAGTGGATGTTACCATAGTTGTTAATTAGCAATTACATTATTAAAATATAAGTAATTATCATTTCAGCTCTAAACTAAGCTTTGGAGTTGTTAGTAGTCTTGAGATTACAGTAATTCCTTTTACAAAATTTGAACCAGTATCCATAGTTCAATTGTTGCCATGGCTTAGCACTTGTAGATGTTCTAATACTTAAATTGACTAAACAGTAGTCAAAGCTTAGCAGATGTGGATCATACAGTAATCTCAATGATGTTATATCTGTTTACATTATTTATTCCTTATTTTTTATTGTAATATTCAAGATTAGCTTTACTGGTATAAACTAGTATTCTTAATAATGTAATATATTTTTTTTTAACTTTGTTAAGGAGGGGAGCTGTATTCTGAGTGGTTTGGCTTTTAATGGTCACGATGAATACAATCAAGTAAAGTGGGATGGAGTTGCTAATGTCAGACTCAGAATATATGAAACTACGTGGGCCTGGAAAGGATGCATCGAGTCATTCAATATTAACACAAGTCAATGGGCAGCAAGGTAACCTATCTATCAATCAACCAACCAATAAGTCAATCAATCAATCAATCAACCCCTAATCAATTGATTAATTGATTAATTTGATCAATCCATAATAATTTAGTCTACCAGTGTTTTTACTGTTAAATTTGTTCATAAAAATTGTGTGCAGTGTGAGGCATTACCCCTTTTAAGTTGGATTTAATGATTTAAAGAAAACAACACATAGCCAAGTCCTAGACTGGAATAAAGTTCCTTTATTGAAAGATGGCTAGCATAGACCACCTAGGCAAAATTTTTACTGGTTGGCTAGTTATTTTTATCGGTAAAATTGACAGCTAAACCGACTTCGGGAGAACAATGGTCTACCTATTTATCTGTCCATTAACTTGGCATAACAGTTTGATCCAAAGTTGTTTTTTTCCCCTTAGATACATTTACAAGCGATTGCGTTTCCTAGGCAACAAGATGTATTCACAGGCTCTGACTTTGTTCTTCCTTGCTTTGTGGCATGGTTACTTCATCGGCTATTTTGTCTGCTTCTTCTTTGAAATGCTCTGTGTTCAGCTGGAAAATCATGTACGTTGGTATTATTTTTACTCAAACACTCGACAGGACAAGCTTCACAAATAAATAAAAATGTCCCCCTCCCACAAATAAAAATCTTTCCATAGTTGCAATGATAAGAGGTTAAGGCAAGAGAATAACCTGTAACTTGTAATGTCATTTTGCTGAATTGAGTATGAGCATGGTCTGTGATTACTGTAGCAGCTAGAGTCACTTAGGAGCTCCATGTTCACATCATTCCAAAATTGCAGGGTATGAAGTAAACCAGAGTATCTCTTTAGAATGACCTGACCGTAACTGTCAAAAACAAGCCCACTCTGAATTAAATTTTAAGCTGAAATTGAACACTTGTTTCATTCCATTTAGTATGCTCCCTTTCAAACCCAGTCGATTACTACATTTTTGGTCTAAGTATAATTTCTGCACGTGCCAGAGTCACTATTTAGACTAACATACAGTAGCTCTACTACTACTTTCACCTTGGTTGATTCTTTGCAGGTCACTGCTTTGGTTGCAAAGAGTCCCCGTCTACAGAACTTTTTCAGTCATCCAGTGGTGAGACCAATAGCATTCGTCTGTTCTCGCGCGTTAACAATTTCTGTGATGGGTTACGCAGTTGTTGCTTTCACCTTGTTACGATACCATAGGTTTTCACAGGTGAGTAATATAAAATCTAAGAGATGAAACTTCACAAAGTCTTGTCTTTTTATTTGATAAAAATACAGGTTTAAATCTGTGGCACTCAATATGTAGGAAAGTATAATACACACTCCAAGTATTGAAATGCATGCCATCGTGTCGGGATTCAATATTTCAACATTAATTATGTCATCATCAGGAATGAAAAATTATCCATATTTGCAAGCTTATGTGCACAAATACCAAAAGTGTTTAACCAATCAAAACATTACCTCCAGTAGGTGACATAACAGTGATTTAAACTAAAGATCAAAGCATTAATACTCTACTGATCAAAGGTACCTACAAAGACAAAATCAATATGTAACACAAAAAAAAAACCCAAAAAAACTGATAGGCGGTATAATAAATGAGCATTAACAAGAGACTCAAGTATCTTGAGTCTATCACATTAAAACATTAATTATTTTTTTCCATTAGATGGAAAAAATATAATTCATGATTAGATGATTATTCTTTGCTTCGCAATTACGAAAAGGACAATAAAATACTCTAAAATTTGAATTCTCAACAATCAGTTTTGACAGGAGATCAATTTGATTAGATAAATCTTTAATTTTTTCTTGATTTAAAGCATGAAGCAGGGGTGTTGATCTACAATACTTATGTATGTTTATAATTTATTTTATTATTTGCATTTTGCAGGTTTACTACAGCATGTACTACATTTGGCATTGGCTTCTCTTTGGATGGATACCTTTATTTTATTTTGTTCTAAATCCAATGTTTAGAAAACCAAAAAGGTGAGTAAGTTATAAGTAATAAGAATTAGTCTTCATTTTTGCTAAAAAGGATAAAAAAAAAAAAAAAAAAAAAAAAAAAAAAAAAAAATAATAATAGCACTACATCAGACTTAAAGGGAATTTCTTTTGTGTTATACTCCCCTTAACGTTGTGTTTGTAATTGTTCTCTAATTTCTCCATTGTCTAATTTCCCCTTAAAGTTGGTTTTAGTATTCATCATAACAACAGCAACAACAACAACAACAACAACATAATTATATGACACAAAATGCTGGAGCTTCAATGCAATTTAAATATTTAAAAAATAAATTACACCTCTCTGTAAACTTACATCATAACCCAAATAAACATGCACACAAACTCTCAATGACTGTAATCATGTATATGTTAAGCTACATGTTATTGTATATATTTAATAACATGCTGTTAACTTTAAGTGCCTCAATAAATAATAATAATCAATACATGACTGAGGTTTAATGAGGTAGTTCTGAAGGGAGTCATTGGGTTGTGTAATCTAAGCTCTTGAAGATTTTTAATGTTGCCTTTGATTTAAATGAACTTTTCAAATTATTTTTTACAGTAATGCAAGTCAAGAACCAGAAAAAACTACAGAAGAAAAAAAGACAGAATAAAGTTAGCATACATTAATTCTTGTCAATATTCCAAATTGAGATATCAAATAATTTTCTATCAATTGTTTACTTTTGTTTGAAGATAAACTTGGCAATGTGAACTTGCAACTATAGTATAATAGTACTAGAACTGTAAATGACTGAATTTTATCAAGTGTCCTTTTCTCATAAAATACATAAAGTGAATAAAGTCTATGAAGAATTTAAAAGGTTGTGTCAGATGAAGTGAATTGATATGCAGTTGATACGATTTTTAAAAAAGAAAGTCTAAAATACTAAGATGCAATTTTAAATGACTTAGAATTTTTTGTTTTTGATTAATGAAATTAGTATTACAGTAGTGTGTCAGCAGTGTATTTCTCTGTATATGCTACCATACCACCACTAGTTTGGTTGTGTTAGTCAATGTTTTTTGAATGTTACACTGTACACTTTCTTATATATTGGTATAACTATATATTAGATTTTTCCTGAGTGTCAATCAACCAAATCTACTGACCAATAGGGACTGGGCCAGGAATAAGCGCATGCCCTACAAACACACTTATTAACGTACACTTACGTTTTTTTGGGAGGGAAACTTAGCGGGGATCAGCGGACTGCCCTTTGAGATGTAAGCAAGCAGCCCTCGATAAAAATGTTTAAATTATTATACTTCAAAATCTGAAGGTGCTGCCCCCAGATATTTTTTGCTCCTATTAATTGATTAGTTCATTATGCATGTTTGTACGGTGTTGGCAAGGTAAGAGCGCCCCCTAGAGACAATTACAGTATGCAAATTTGTGACAAATATAGAGTAAATTACTAATTTTGTGTTGATGAATGTACAGTATTGAATTGTGAAAAGCAATATTAAAAGTGACCTCGAAATAATATATTCAGAATGTTTTTGTGACTTGTTTAAATATTGCAGTCATGTCAGTGGTTGGGGAGATATTAATATGTTATATTATTATTTATTTTAACTTCAATGTACCATAAATTGATTTCAAATTATAACTCTAAATTAACCAGGCCGATAACATTGTTTTGACTTTGTGAATAACTTAAGGTTAATGATTCTTAACGGGACCCCACCAAAAAGCAGTGGCTTATTAAACCTAATAGCATAAACATTAATTTTTATGGTTGGCACTGTTGAAGTGCAATGTTCCACAAACTAGAAATTCAACTTTTTGAAACCATGTGTGAAGCCGACCTTCAATAATAAATTGAGGCACTGCCCAAAATACATGAAGAACTAACAGCTACGTCATTTAACAATCTTGTGCTTTATAAATCTTTGTCAAAGTGATTTTGCAACATTTTGCAGGCAACGTATTAATAGAGATTGTCAAATAGAGGTAAGACGTTGTATACAGTACGCATATTGTTACAGAAACCGTTTGAAGATACAGAATCAGAACATTGGGTTGATGATTTGAAGAGTGACAGGCCTACAGAACGATTACACTAACACTTGACGGCTTATATTACAAAGGCTAAGACAGAAAGAATGCAAGTTTTTGGTATAGGCCTACATCCTATCAGTATGTCACGTCCATGCTTCATTGTCTTCATGCTGCTTGCTTTTCAAGCCACAACTTGGCCAACGGATGCATCAGCACTCTTCAGGGCTCCTAGTAACGTCACTGTATTCGCTGGTAACACTTTCAACTTAACCTGTGGAATTATCTATCAAGAGAGTGAGGAACTTATTTGGCTTCGATTCATGCAAAATAGATATTCTGTCTTGAGTTTAGGTGCAACGGTAGTAACAGCCGATAAAAGGCTTGATGTGAAATTAAATCCGATGTTTATGATAACTATCTCTGACGTGATGATTTCAGATGAAGGCATTTACCAATGTGGAACTCGTGCGGAGTTCCATTATACCCCTTTAGCAAATGCTACAGTAACTGTATTGGAACTGACAACTCTCCAGCCGACAACGCTTCAGCCGACAACTCTCCAGCCGACAACTCTTCAGCCGACAACACCGACAACTCTTCAGCCGACAACACTTCTGCCAGCAACGCCTCGTCGTCCCACTCCATACCGGCCTATGGCCGGCGCTCCTGTTCCTCATGAAGACTCAACGTTTATATATGAGAACACCGACTTCACCAGTGAAAGTGCTACTACCTTAATAGATCTAACAACAGTTAATGGCGGACAGGGTAGTATTAGTGGTTGTGGTGTTTTCTTTTATACGATTCTTGCTGTTAGTCTGTTTTTGATTTAGTCTGACGTCCGGCCATTTCATTTTATTATTATAGATTAATGATATATTTCTTCTAGCGATTACTAAAGTCATCGCAAAAGAGTTCAGAACTACAGTTACTTTGTGTAAAGAAGCGGCTGCAGAGCTGTTCACTTCATTCTGTTAAGCTTTCTCCTATGCCGCTGAAAATTAAATCATCTTTCGAATCTGTCTGCAAATTGCTGTGCAGTTTATAAACAATAGTAAAGCCCGGGACAAGTTGCGATATTTTTACTTTAATATGCTACTGCTGTTACCGCTATTGTCACTGATACTGCTATAGCGCTACTTCTACAAGTACCTGCTCTAATATTTCTACTACAATATTAGTAGTAGGCTAGTTAGTTTTAGAAGTTTCTACTAAGGGGTCCCTAGCATAGTTGGAAAAAGACATTTCCGGGATTACTGGTTGAAAGAGCGGTTCTCAACACATCTAAATGTATATGTTGCTTCTCATGGTTATAGCCTAGGTACTGTTTTCCGTGAGACAATTGATATTAAATGAGTAAAACCATGCAAATATTAATATGAATTTGCGGAAGATGGGTTATTTTCCGTATGATTCTTGCTTGCTTGCGGGAGTGCGAGAGGCCGTTCTAATTTTCTGGAGACTCCCGCTACTTGCTTGAGACTTGGGACACCTGCTACTGTACTACTACTATATGCTACTTTACTACAACTTCGAATTCTAGTATACTACTACGATGATAATAATAATTATAATAATCATGATAATAATAATAATAATACTCTTAGCATTTTCGAGTAATTTATGACATTGTAATACAAAACATATGGGTTACAGATATTTAGACGTTTATTTATATTACAATCGGTGTTAATTGTCTAATACAAGCTTGTAGTTTCTGCCAAAATTAATTTGACGTTTAAGAATTAATGTATACTGAATTGTCAACGTTGTATAAAAGAATTTCAACTGATTGTAGTTTACAAGAAGTAACTAATTTTTTAAGGTTATAGATTTCGTTGAATAGGAATTATCAAACGATGTTTTGCTTGAAAATTGATAATTGTTGTCGTTAATTTAAATGTTCAAATTAACTACAGATATTATGTAGTGAAAATAATATGAAAATTACAGCTGTGACATAGAGCTGAAATTGTATACAGTGAAGTATCTAGGGGGTGTGACCCTAGTCGCCTCCTCCTATTGAAAATGATCGAAGCAAACCAATTACGCTGAAGTAGATAAAAGTCACCTCATATCATCTCGAACTAACGCGCCCCAATCAGCCCCCACACCTTCTACCATTTCAAGATTCCCAGATACGCCACTGGTTGTATAGAGTATAGTATGCCGAACCAAGATTAATAACGAAATGGAATGCATACAGGGATCAGTGGCGTAGTCATGTTCTGAAGGGGTCCTGGTTCAAGAGTACCGTCGGGGCCCTTGACGCATCAATTAGCAATTACTGAAGTAAACTATACTAATACCATCCCCGCCGAACATATTCCGGGCACGAACGGTGGTTTGGGGAACGGAATACTTTATACAGTAGTTACTTTTGGAAGTAAAAGTACCAATATAGTAACTAAGATCATTTAAAGAGAAAGAAACTTAAACAGGCCATAATTATATTTAGCGTTTTGGGTTGATAAAAACCGGCACTGGTATCCCGACATGCAGCTTATTTCTATTTTCTGTCAGTAGAGAAGTCCTCACAGTGAAAAACACTGCTCTACAGAGGAGCTCCACAATGCAAAACAATCTACAGAAGAAAATAATCTAGGCCTACAGTAAATCTTAATCTATTATCTTTTGAATTCTTAGAAAAAGACAGTCTGGTACGAGTTTATCTTGCCGAATTAATTAGGCTTGAGACATTAACAACTTGATTTTCTCGTTATAGAGATGTACTGTCAATTGAATTGTATTAAGTTTTTAAATAAATCATTAAGTCTCATGTGATGTGTTTGCTTTTGTTAGGTCTTTAGCGATTACTTTACTTCAGCGCTTCGTAACTAAAAAGAAAAGGTGCTATACAATAACAAGTAACAAGTTTCAAGTTTTATTTATATACGGTAGTCAATTATTGGCAGATAGACGAAAGATCGACGAAGTGAAAGTTATAGCTAATAGAGCACTAACAATAAGGGATTTAGCTGTTATTAGGGTGAGAGAGGTGCCCGTTGTTTGAATGAGGTTGATTTTACAGTTATCCTACCAGAAAAATTCGTATTTATATAATCAGAAAAAATATGAAATAGGCCTAACTTTAGAACGATGAGCAGGCCCAGATTAACATAGGGGCTTTTTGGGAGCCAGCCTCAATGGGGAAAAATAGGCCACCGAACCCCAGAAAAAAAATCACCGAAAATCTGGTTTTATGTTTTACCAACAGGGTATTTATGCCACTTGCAAGTACTGCCCCAAGCCCCATGCCCTTTAATCCGGCCATGACACGATGGGGTGATGATGATGACAACAATGAAGATGGTAATGATTGAGTAATGGAGACACTAATCATAGCTGCTGCCACCTCAGTCCCACCTTGGTTGGGCGGCGAGGTGCGAATTTTTAAAAATATTTAGAGCACCTTTAGATGTCTGGAAAGGACATCCCAAATTAAGGAACCTGGACTTTAGCCACCACTTGCTAATATGCCAACATCAAGTGAACTGCAATAATAATAATTACTGACACTATCCTTGGTGCAATCTAAATTCAAGCAGACTTTTACACATGACACTGCAATTTCTATTGTGCATTATTGGAAAAAGTATGAAGTTTCACAAAAAGAGCTTAAGAGGGCCTGAAATCGTCTCACGTCATTTAAGTACATTATGATTAATGTAGGCTAAAGGGAAGTGAAATCCTAGCTGTAATTATGAGCATTATTATATTTTTTATAAATGGCGGTCCCTTAAAGACCGGCGCCTTGGAGATCGGGGGCCCGGTTTCAATGAACTGCCTGAACCTGTGGTAGTTACTCCACTGCTAGGCATAATTATTTTAACAAATTCAAATTATAATGTGCAGCATTATATGAAGATAATACTAAGATGGCACAATTCTACATGACAAAGAACAACAATTAGACAGATGGGCAGAATACTACTATGAACTGTTCTCCAATACCGTCCCACTTGCACCAGAAACATTGGATCAAGTCCCTTTACTTCCAAAACTGTTTGAGCTTGATGAAGAACCTACAGTGGAAGATCTAGAAAAGGCCATTAATACCCTTAATGTAGGAAAAGCACCAGGAGATGACAACATTCTACCGGAGGTCATCAAACAATGCAAAACCACTTTATTACTACCATTGTATGACTTACTGTTACAATGTTGGAGACACACTCCTCCAACTATACCACAAGAACTACGTAACTCAAAGATTATAACACTCTACAAAAATAAGGGATCACGGAAGGACTGTAACAACTATCGAGGTATCTCACTCCTCAACATAGTAGGAAAGGTATATGCCAAAATCATTCATCAGAGACTAGTTGTTATAGCTGACCGTGTCTACTCTGAATCACAATGTGGATTCAGAGTAGGAAGATCTACCATAGACATGATTTTCTCCCTCAGACAAGTGCAAGAAAAGTGTAGAGAACAAAACATGCCGCTCCACATAGCATTCATAGATCTAACAAAAGCATTTGATCTAATTAGTAGAGATACCCTATTTAGTGTCCTAGAAAGAATAGGATGTCCACCAATCCTGCTTGGCATTATTAAGTCCTTCCATGAGAAACAACTTGGAGTTATAACCTTCAACAACAAGACTTCAAAACCTTTTCTGATCCGAAGTGGTATTAAGCAAGGGGATAACATAGCTCCAGTTCTCTTCGGCATCTTCTTTGCAGTAGTACTGATACGAACGTTCAGCCTTTGCCCAGCAAATCCTGGTATTGCTATCCGGACCCGTGAAGATGGAGGAGTCTTCAATCAGGCAAGGCTTAGAGCAAAGACAAGGACAAATACATTCAATATCCATGACTTGCTCTATGCAGATGATGGTTTTCTCACTCACTCAGCTGAAAAACTGCAGGAAGTTATGGACTGCTTCTCAAAAGCCTGTAACGAGTTTGGTCTAACCATCAGCATTAACAAAACTAAAATCTTACACAGAGATAATGATGAACCCCCATCAATCAAAATCAATGGTGAAGAACTGGAATGTGTAGAGACATTCTGTTACCTTGGGTCTACAGTCAACTCCAAAGGTACACTAGATGATGAGATTGAGAAGAGGATATCAAAAGCCACTGTAACCATGGCAAGACTGAAAGATAGAGTATGGGAGAACGCCAAGCTGACTAATAAAACTAAGTGTCAGGTATACAAAGCTTGTGTATTAAGCATACTCCTATATGCTAGTGAAACTTGGACAACATACGCCTGGCAAGAGAGAAAGCTGAATACATTTCATATGAGAAATGTTCGCCGCATTCTAGGCATTAAATGCCAAGATAAAATCAGTAACAAAGAGGTGCTAGAGAGAGCAGAACTATGTGATATTTACACATTACTAACATATAAACGATTGAGATGGTTTGGTCACACAACAAGAATGGAATCCCACAGAATCCCAAAGCAACTTTTGTATGGTGAACTGGCAGAAGGAAAGCGCTCTAGAGGAGGACGTCCTTTACTGCGGTATAAAGATGTATGTAAACAAGATCTCAATTCGATCAACATTGATCCCCATACTGCAGAAGAAATGACCAACAACCGAGAATCATGGCATCATTCAATTAAGTCAGCGGTGGAAACGCGACAACAAAAACATTACAGACATAAAGCTTACCTCCGCCACCAAAGAAAAACAAAAGAACCAACAATGTCAGTTGAATTGAATGAATGTCCAAATTGTAAAAGGAAATGCAAATCAAGGATTGGACTCCACAGTCACATGAGGGGTTGCAAAGAAAGAAGATCAAATGATGATTATGAGCTATATTGATGATGATGAACTTCCTCTTAATCTTTCCTTTATTACATCATTGTACAGTATGATTTATGTGCTTTCTGCATAGTCATAAGTGACTGACGCAGGCCACTACTGTACTGTACCAGCTCTTGTATTATATATTTCCCAGATTACAACGTTTGGTTTTGAGTCATCACTAATGTTTCATAGGCCCCTAATAAGAGTCTTTATCACCCTACTAAAAGAAAAGGGAGCATTACCCTAATATTCACGGTGATGTATTTAGCTATTAAAAGTGCAGTGTTTCTTAAATTACTAACTCCGCATTTCACATATCACAAGTTTCACATTGTTCCACATAAAAATAAAAAGGCCCCAATTATTTTAAAGGAAAAAACGTCATTTTTTAAATAACGTCCTTATAAATCTGTCACAAATTCACATTTTGCGGGTATCAACATAGAAATTGTAAAATAAGAGAATATTTACGACGTACACAATACAGTCTAAGTTAAGACCTGAAACATCTGGCTAATTTGATTTGTAGAGGTTCCGCTTTCCTAGTCCCTCCTTTGATAGACATCCACGGTATTAACAGGCCTAAAAGACAAGTAGGCTAATTTTCGACGTATAGGAAATATTTAGAGGAAACTTTTATGACGATAAAGACAGGAATATTACAAGTTTTTGGACTACGCCCAGTAATCATGTCACGTCCATATTGTCTGATTGTGGTGATGCTGTTTGCTTTTCATGCAAAAATACCGTTTGCAGATGCAGCATTTTTCTACAAGGCTCCCAGTAACGTCACTGTGATCGCTGGTAACGCTTTCAACGTAAGCTGTGGAATAGCAAATGTATCAGATACTGATATTCTTGTTTGGGTTCGATTCCCACAAAATAAACCTGTTATTATGAGTTTTGGTAAATATGCGTACACCTATGAAAAGAAAAAGCCTGAAGTATCGATAACCCCTGAATACATGCTAAAAGTGATTAACGCGGATATTTCTGATGAAGGTGTTTACCAATGCGGAGTCATGAGTAAGGGATCGTACACCCCGTTTGCAAATGCAACAGTAACAGTGCTGCAAGTAGCATCAACCATGATGCCTTGGCCGCCAACGCTCCATTCGGCAACGCCTCAACCGTCAACGCTTCGGACGAAAACGTCTCGACCACTTACAAATTCGCCGACACCTTATCAGTCCGTTAAAGAAAGTAACACCGTTGAGCCGACTAATGTATTATTCGGAAAGGTGAAACACTCAAATGAAACGGAAAAAGAGTCCAATCCACGCGAAACGACAACTGATGATTATGTCTGGTCTAGCGAAACTTATTCGCTTGAAGACTTTGCTACATACCCAATAGACCTATCAACCAACCTGCCATCAACAGTCATTGTAACTACGACAAGCGGACAGGTTATTATTTGTAATTGTGGCGTTTTGTTTTATGCAATTCTTGCCTTTGGCCTGGTTTTGGTTTAATTAGCAGTAATTTTTTAGGACATTTAATCACAAGTTCCAATGAAGTGATATTTGACTATAGAAGATGTTTACTTCACGATTCATATTTTTGTCAGGTTGCTGTAGATCACTATGAATATTCATCTTGTCCATGGGACAGGAATCTGTATCTTGTACAGGGGGACATGTTCCCTTTTTGCCTACCATACCCTGTTGAGAGAATAAACATTATGAAATTATGAAATTGAAAATACTATATGAATAATAATAATACTATGAAATACTATAAATATTCATAACTTTGCATGTTCATGTGCTGTTTTTTTTTTTCAATTCTTCATTCACTGTTTTTCCCGCACGATGGGGAATTAATAAGAACATAATTGTTTTCAAAAAAGGAAATGTCTCTTAGATCTGACGATATACAATGAATGTCAGGACTTCTGTATGTTTACTGTTTTAAATTGTGAAATGTTATGGACAAGGTAAATGTTGATGTATCGCTCTTGGTAAAATTTGTTATCGGTCCCGCAGAAATAAAAGCGGGGATCCTCATAATTTTAACAAAGAAGTATTCAACCATCAACATTCTAACAGTAAAATGTTACTGTCTTAGCTGATTGGATTAACAGTACAAGTTGGGTGTAGTTCACCAACAAGATCTGTTTCTGTGGATATAATATTATACGACATGTTGTTTATGTCAGAATTGGCCTAAATAAGTAGTGTCAATGTTTAGGTTATATAAGCAGCTATTGATCAAAACAGTTCACTATCTTATTTGGGACCGATTGGCAAATTTGGGATTATCTCGAGGTTAGGTATCCAAGTTTCTATTAAATACCCCTAATTATTACAATTATATTGAAATTTGTACCCTGCAAAGTGTTCATGTGCATTAGATGTGTTCATGCAGCAAAATGGAATTTTTCCATAGGCATCGTTCCAATGGCTGGGAATAAATGTGGAGAAGCGCTCTGAGATTGTATAGAGTGCTATATAAAGGCCTACATATTATTATTATTATTATTATTATTATTATTATTATTATTATTATTATTATTATTATTATTATTATTATTATTATCATTATTACTTCTATTATTAGTAAAAGGTAATAAACCTAATATTCCTAAATTTGACGTTGATATTCTTAAATCAATTGCACTGGAGAACACACACTCATTCTACAAGAAATTCGGAATCATAGATGCTATAGAAATAAGAAACAAATATCCTCGAGATTAATGATTGCATATAGATTTAAGGATAAATATTATAAACATGTTTTTAATGCATAAATTAATTTTAATATAATTTATATGTGTAGTATACATGATATAGATTCCTGGTTCTTAATTAATTTATTTGAAGGGCCAAATTATTTTTGGATTTGATGTCGCATTAGACATTTTTCCCTTCATATGGGCGCATTATTGTATGTTTTAGAATATAGAAAACTTGAATTTTATGTAATGTACAAATATGAAAAGTTGTTGAATCTGTATAGGCCCTATTATAAAGAGTAACAATAAATGGAATTTAGCCATCAAAAAAAAAAAAAAAAAAAAAAAAAAAAAAAAACAAGCAAAAGCAAAAACAAAATATAGACTAAATTACAAAAATAAAGACTAATACAATAATTACACATTATCTGTATTTTTACGAGTTACAATACCAGTCGCAGGCGGCAGCGCACACCCGCCAACTGCTGCGCAGTGCATGCGGCCAAGATTTTACTAACAGAACATGACATTTCTTTTGCGGGCGGTCGCAAGCTGCACGGATAACTGTTGCTTTTAGACCACAATATTATGGATTGGTAATAAAAATAATGTTAAAAAGGCAAATTCATATTTTGGTCCGACGCCCTCGTTGTAGCGTCAGAAGACGGGGGATCTATGCCTGTCCGACGGTGGTTGGGAAAATTTCCCCCTTCTTACCCCAGCTGGTGCCACCATAACTAGCGAACCAACCCTTGGTATGGTCCTAAATTGTCATGACTAGCGAATATATTTCTTGATTCTTGATTATGGCGATCCGAACACTTCAACAATTATCAACAATAGCAAACGCTATGTAAATGGAGACCTTTATGAGCAGTAAACTTTTCCAATTTATTGACTCACGAACTTTATAAATAAGAATACAATGACTAACGAACTTTATGAATATAGCTAATCTTATGAATAAGGGTGGACACAAATATAAATTTATTATTGGTTTATTGCCCTCAATAATTTTAAATATATTCCATAATTTCTTGTAATTACTTCGAGACCTGATCCAAACCAATGCCTATAATTCAAATCGTATAAACAAGAAATCAAGGATTAGGTGTCCACGCGGCTACGTACAACATAAATGAAAGTAAATATAATATTCTTAAAAAGTTAATCGAAAAAAATTATCGAACATACCTTTAATAATTAATAATGTTACTTTATGCTGTCTATATTTAGTAATTTTCTTCGATCTATACACTGATGTTTCTCTTCCATGTGACTCAAAACAATAAAAAATATACTGTATATTAAATGCAAATTTATTATTTATTTATTCAACGTCGATTTATTATATATATATATAGGCCTAATTATTATAAACAAATAGATAAATGATAATAATACTCACATTTTAAGCACATTTTAATAATCGTATAAAGCAAAGCTCATCAACGAACAGTTCCTTTATTTTAGTCGTATGAAAACAAGCGTTTCTAGTGGGAATCGAACTTGCAACCTCTTGCTATCTAGGCGAGTATCATACCTATTAGACCACGGAGGATATAAGTGCAGATCTAACACCCAGGCATTTCTTTGTTTTATTTCCACCGTCATATCCATATAGCGCTAATTATATTTCATGCTATTAGTAAATAAATCTTTTAGAGGTGATATAACTTAATTATAGCCATTGAAACTATGATGTATTTACAGCCCAAGCAAGTCATGGTATACCAGGGCTTAATTCGGACTAATAAACAGAAGATAGAATGCACACATGACCAATAGGCCTATCACATGGTCACTATTATAGTGTCAATTATCACATTACCAGATTTACATAGATAGGTCCATAGAACGAGTACATTATATTCGACATTGAGTAAGAACATTTATGACATAGAAGAATGGACATTTTTGAGGTACGTATGGCGCATCCATGTCTTGCGATTGTCTTAATGGTCTATGTTTTTCACGCCAAAACACTATCAACAGATGCAGCAGTTCTCTACAAGTCTCCCAGCAACGTCACTGTGATCGCTGGTAACCCTTTCAACTTAACCTGTGGGATCGCAAATATTTCATTTACTGAGGCTCTTGTTTGGCTTCGATTCGTGCAAAACAAACGAGTTATCTTGGGCTTTGGTGAATATACGTTCGCATATGAAAAAACTACTAACAAAAGGCATGAGATTGCGATGACTCCGGAATACATGATTAATATTAATAAAACGGAGATTTCCGATGAAGGTGTTTACCAATGCGGAGTCATTCGCCCGGGAGTATCGCCGGTATCGTACACTCCCTTTGCAAATGCTACAGTAACTGTTCTACAAAAGGGGCTCGGAACACTAATATTAACTCCGGCGACAACCTCTCGGGAACTATCACATTGGCTGACGACTCAACCTGCCACAATCAGTGAGGCCATTTTTCTGACTAAAGTAAAGTTGATATTAAACAAATCGGCGGAAGAATGGCTCTTTGAGGTCACGTCAACGGTGAGCAAAACGGAAAATGACGTCACTGCCAGACCCAGCACGACTCCCACAACTCCATCTGCTGCTACTCCAACTCCTCGTCTGACAACTTTTCGACGAACACCTCAGCCAGCACCAAGTAGTGAAATGGCGATTGACGCAACTGTCTGGTCTACGAAAAATGTTTTACACAAGACAAAAATATTTGTTTCGAAACCGTCATCAGCTGTAGTAACTAACCCATGCAAGGAGCCGCACGATGCGAACGGACAGGGCATTGCTAGCGGTAGGCGTAACGGTGTTTTTCTTACTGCGATTCTTACTTTTTTTCTATTTTTGAATTAGTCTGCTACCTGTTCTTGAGGATTTAATGAAGAGTTGACAATTATCTAGCGATGATTGTTGATTTGTTTACATTGTGAAAGTATCAATTTACAGCAAGAACCAGGGAGCAGTCATATTATTCATTCAGAAACTGAGCAATATAGGCCTACTTCTGTTGCGCTAGATCATGAGAATGCTGTTTTATAAAAAGAGGAGCATCGAAATAATTACATTCTAATATACATAGGCCAACATTAAAAAGATTATAAAATTGCATTACAGTATAAAAATCCATATCAATTGATAGTGATTCGATAAAAATTCCTGAGAGGCAGGCTAGAGAAAAAAGAAATACAGTATATCGCAGATTGGTGTCTAATGAAGCTGCTGTTATAAGATTGTACAATCAACCTGAAGCAATAAATTGTAAACATTTAGAAAGTCTAGTAGGAATGGGTTGTTGAGATAGTATTCACAGGCCCATCCGATCACGAGGAACACATCAATGCAGTTACAGAACCGCCTACTTTAATTACTTCCTTGTTATTGGCACACTTCCCTGAATATAGCCTGAATAAATTGGCTATGCTATATCAACAAAACAGACTTGTATTTCAGACGACGTATCAAATCATTTTATCATTCTTAAATAGGCGGATTATGCGTTTAATTATCATTAGATCATTCAATCACCGTACATCATAATAATCGCGCATCATAATTATACTCGTATATGAAAACTTTGTGCAGTATCTCCGAAAAAGAACGATCGGATCTTTCGTTTTCGGAGATTCTGCACCAAGTTTGGATTACAGTTTAACTAATGCATGCTGATCATTACAAAGAGCTCGTCATTTCTTAGATTTCCATGCTTAATATGACATTTACTAGCTGCTTGCGTGTGGGTTCGTTTTGAGGTACGTATGGCGCAATATCAAAAGCTGTTTCCGCGGTAATAATAATATATAACTGTGTTGCTGTGCCAACAAATATCTAGGTCCGTTGAAAGGACACACCCAATAATCTGTTCTTTAATGCGCGCCCTCTACACTTCCCGATGAGCACTTAGTTTGAAATTGATATTCTTCCTGTCATTAAGTTTGTTTTATCATGCTTTTAAGAGAAGCGATATCTAATGTTTGTCGTTTCTTTTTTTGTTTCTACTGTACATTTGTCTCTTGATGATGTTGTTCTTTTGTCATACTTCGATGTTTATTTTTATCAAGTATGTTTTTTGATAGATAATTAAAAAATTGAATTGAATATTCGATCATTTTCAAGAGTTAAAAACCCAGTTTTTGTATGCACTTCGAAGTCCAAAGAATTTGACTTCAGAAATTTGTACAGGGTTGTCAAAAAATCATTTTTGGCTTGGTAACACATATTCAACATTTGGCAAAATCCAGTCTACTGATAAGTAGGTGGAAATCTGATAAGTCTCTTATTCTAACATTTACAACAAAAATAACAGTGGAAACTACAGTAATAATGGTTATCATATTTTATATATATATAAAAAAAATCTCTTTATCATTCATAGCACCAAGATCATTGACTCTTGTTTAGGCAGTTTAGATACACTAGGTCTTCTTATCTAATATAGCGACACTGCAAATGACATTAACATTCTAATACCTAAACTATATAACAATAATTTCATAATAGGTCCTAATATTTAACTAGAAACTAGAACATTACTTTTTTGCACTTACTAGAAGATATTTCAAATTTTCGTTTTTTAAAAGCTTCTTTTAACATAAGCGCAGTTTGGCCACATGTATAACAAACAAAACATGAATTAGTTATACAATGCAAAGAACTGGCATAATGAATTTATAGCATTCTTCCAGCAGCCTTCCATGTCTTCCAATAATCTTCTATTTTCAAATCAAGGCGCAATATATATCAATTATATACTTGGCAGGCTTCCATTTATGAAATTTTGTAGTTTAAGCAGAGAGGGTAGAACTGCAAGAGGCCGACGCAAGGTGTTTTTTTGCCTCTCAAAAAAAGTAGCACCATGAACTAGAGTGCGTCCTTCAAAAGAAAGTAAAAATGCATTCATAACTAGTGCGCCCCCATTCTCGTGGTAGCATAAAAAAATCAGGGCTGTTGGACCTCTTGGGATTCTATACTCTTTGGTAAAAGGATGGTAGCTTATATTACTGTAAAGTGATTATTCTCGATATGAACAATTTAAGGTTGTGATTCTTGTAAATGAGCAAATTAAAGTTGTCTTAATTTTAGCAGTATTCTTTAATAGCAGTTAATAAAACATTATTTACAGCATGTTATAACTTGATAACTGTAATGCTATGTTCCTACTTTGTAATATATAAACAATGATTATTAAAATTACTTTATTAATATATATTTTTATTTGCTTGAGACTACGTGCATCCACAGTGGAAGAATGATGATGGTTCCTTGACCCTCTTGTAGTCGCAACCCATGCAAGTCACATGATACCAGGAATCACAGTCATCACATTGGACCTATATGGAAGAGCATAGAGTATGTTTGAGTAACATGGCAAGTACCACATAATCAAATCTACAAGGCCCATAGCACATGGTAATACCACATGGTCAGAGCTACTTGGAGTAAATCACATGACCAGTACAAAATGTGCAGAGTTAAATGACCTGTATCACAGGACCTGTGACCTGTATCATATGACCAGATGATCAGAGTTATGTGACCTTTACCACACAATCAGATGATCAGTCAGAGTTACATGACCTTTATCACACGATCAGATGATCAGTCAGAGTTACATGACCTTTATCACACAATCAGATGATCAGTCAGAGTTACATGACCTTTTCAGAGTTACATGACCTTTATCACACGATCAGATGATCAGTCAGAGTTACATGACCTTTATCACACAATCAGATGATCAGTCAGAGTTACATGACCTTTATCGCACGATCAAATGATCAATCAGAGTTACATGACCTTTATCACACGATCAGATGATCAGTCAGAGTTACATGACCTTTATCACACGATCAGATGATCAGTCAGAGTTACATGACCTTTATCACACGATCAGATGATCAGTCAGAGTTACATGACCGGTATCACATGACCAGTACTATATGAGCAGAGGTACATAGAGGAGCACATAACATGACCAGTAAAACAAGATAATTACAATTTATATCAGTACTGTATTACATAATCTTATCAACAGCAAAGTCCACATTCAAGTGAAACAAAAAAATATGTACCAGATCAATATTACTAAAACACTGTGAGGATCACATGGCCTTTCATCATATGACCGGAGTCACATGAACAAAAAATCTTTTTTCAAGAATTAATGTCATCAAACTAAACTAGACTAGATGTAGTAATAAACTTTCATGATTACATAAAGCAGACACAGATAAAACACACTAATGTACATTAAAGGTATTATGAAAAACACTGGTACATAAGCTGCATAATACAAGAGCGGCCACGGGCCCTGGGGCATCTTCACTGCCAGGGCCCATCCCAGCAGGATTGAGTCCCCTCCCGTGAAGCAATGGCCTTTTAATGAATTAGAGGACTAATCTTATCGATTATAGAGTGCCTGTCATGAAAAATAAAGTATAGAAACAGAAAAGTAAAAGCTTTACTCCTTTTTTTTCAAACATGCTGAAAAGATTCATAACATAGTTATCAAAGTTTACAGTGGTTGATCCAGGAATTTGAAATAGAGGGGCACAGGAAAGGACTTCCACATATGGACGGTCTATCTACTTCAGCGCCACCACTGGTTGGGGCTGAGGTAAAAATTTATGATTGTGGCACCTATGGACGACCGGAAATGGTACTCTTAGACTTAAAATTTGAGTATAATTTTTTTTTTCTCAATTTTTGTTAAATTTTGAAAAATTTAGGGGGTGGGGGCTGGGCTCTCCTTAAATTCGCCAATGGTTTAATATATTAATTCGGTATATATTTGACAATCAGATCTCTATCAGGTCTGTTAGTATTTTCTAACTTGTATGTATATTGACGATGTCTCGGGTCCAAGCCTTTTATAATTATTAATTAATAATGTTAAGAATTTACTATTTGATACATTGTAGTAGAAGTCATGAAAATATTCATGAAAAAGAAGTAGCGTTTAATTACCAGATTTCATCAATAAACGGCCGATTTATTTACAATTCTCATGGGAAAAACACATGAATGATAATGAATGAACGTATACGTTTAATAATTCTATTTATTTTATTTCATTACTTTTTGCAGAATTATCCTGGGACCCTGCCGGGCCCGGGCCACTTGCCCTGGCCTCTCAGCACCACTGCACACAATATATATTTATATGTATGTATGTATTTATATATATAGTATATATTTTTTTATAGTAGAGACCTGACTAAGATTTGTATACACTTAATTTAGGAGAGAATATCTCAACTGATATTAAATAATATGAACTCTAGTAACAACATGGGATGCGTGCCAAAATTGATATGCTGGACGAACAGCCTGAAAATGAACACACCCTTGTTTAATTGGCCACGCCCCCTTTTTCATTGTAAGTGCTACTTTAAACAGTAGGCTACACTAATATAAACACATTGCAAAAAAAGGTTTTTCCTATATAAAAGAACACATATGATGAAGGGATCAAATTTGAGAAATCTCACTTTAAAACCCCATTCCCGGCAAAATTTCACTAAAAACAGATTTTTTAAAAAGAAAAATGCATATGCCTTACTCTAATTATTATAAATCATGGAAAAATATTGGCATAAATTTTAGTTTTACGCAAAAGAATAAAAAAAATGAGTAATACAGACTATTTCTCATAGAATATTACCATTTTCTCGACGAATTCTTTGCAAATTCAGAGGTTGTAGATCGCATCCGCTGGAATACTCTCGCTTTTATGCATACTTTATACAGTCAATAAAGTGCGCCCTCTCTAATGGGATTAGTTTTTGTACTTCGCATCTCGCACAATGCGGCCATTTGAGTAGGCCTGAGTATGTTTGTTTAAGTGTCAAAACATGAACAATTCATCCGCATTTATTTTTTGTGTGGAACACAAAAAAAAAATCAAATTTTAGTCTTATTTTACATTTTCTTCATGTTTAGGAATTTCTAAATTCAGCTAAACTAGCAATTCCGTATTATACAGTATTTATAACATTATACAAAAATTAGATTTTTCTTAACAACGAAATTTTGCCGGGAATGGGGCTTTAACCACGAGTCTCGTATAAAGGGACACTCCCCTTATTTTGCATATTTAAGCTTGTTTCCATATGAATGGGACTTGCGATTAAGATTTCTGAAATTTTATCCCCTCATCATGTGTCCTTTTTTTTGGAATATGTTCATATTGTCTAGCCTACTGTTTAAAGTAGCACTTCCAATGAAAAAGGGGGCATGGTCATTTAAAAAAGGGTTGGGTTGGATTGGATTTATTTGGTGTAAACACCAAGGATAGTTCACGAATGTCTAGATGAAGACTTATTTCCAGTGGTGATTGGACACCGGGAGACAATCCCCTGCTCTTTTCCGGAAAGTGTACTGCGTTCTTTAACGTGCACATGAGCCATAAATGCACACAGGACCAACGGCTTAAAGGTCTCCATCCAGAAAACGGTGTACTTGTATTTCAGCCCTCCAGCTGAAAACACAAGGACAGGCAGCGATGGGAATTGAACTGGGGAACTCCACAGTTCAGTGCACACACAGTGGGCTACCACCAGATTAGCCAACTGAGCTAAGCTGCTCTGTGTCATTTTTAGGTTGTGTGGTCATTTTTGGGCTGTTCGTCCCGGATACAGATTTTGGCACACATCCAATGTTGTTCCTTGGATTCAAATTAGCCTATATCAGATATTCTCACTAAATTAGAATGGGTGACATGGTAAGACACTAGTGTTTAATAGGGGCAATTAATGAGATACAGATTTTTGAATATTTAAAAACTGGGGAAAAAGGGGCATAACAACCTTTTTCTTCACATTTCAAAACATTTTTATTGATTGTTAAAAGCGTCATTACCCAAGAAATTGTGTTGTCCACTGGATGAATACAATCAATGCTTGCACATTCTTCTGGTACATAAACTTCAGATGTTGATGTTGAAGAAAAGTTACGATACATACCTATGTAATTAAAAAATAAAAATTAATAATTGCAATCAAGGAATTTAACTTTTGTGTGTATTCTATCAACAAAAAAAAATATTCATATTATACGATTGATAATGCGAGAGCTTCAAAAAATCTTAGTATGATAGTTATAGGGTCAGAGATACACAACTGTGATTGATTCAAACTTGTACTACAGTATACTGTATATGATTAATAGGGAGCTTCTGACTGCACGACGATAGTAGGACTTAATGACATCACATAAAGTCATCTTCACATGCGAGAATGTTAAGTTCAGGTTTTTGCATGGATGTTAGGATGCACTACGTTGTGCAGAGAATGTAGGACGGTCACTCATGAGTCAATCCATTCCTGTGTCACACCGTCGGGCAAATCAACAGCTCCCTAATAACTCACACAAAACAGAAACATACCAAGCCTAGGTTTCTTTAGCTCCATATTCTTGGATAGCACTACAGATGCTCTCTTGTTCAATTTGTTCAATGACATCTGTGTCAGCGAATGATTTAGAGTTGCTTTTTCTTGCAAGTTTTCTAAAGTTCTTAATGACGCAAGTCTTGTAGAAACATGTACTTGTTCTTTTGGTTGGACCTGATGGTTTCTTTTTTCTTGTTCTTTTATTATTGGAGCTTGAAGATAAAAAATGCCAAAATTTAAGATGTTCTTACCCAGAATTCTTTTGATTACACCAGAACATTATTTCTGTAAATTAAAGGACTTACATGATTTTGGTGATTCAGATCTTTCTGGTAGTTCTTTGGAAATTTCCTTCAGTGACTGGTTCTCTACAGGGTATGTAATGGTGACATCAGCTGTATCTTGAGTGACATCAATGTCAGCAGATATTTCAGATTTGCTTGATAATGGTTCACAGACTGACGACCTAATACTGTTTTGCTGATGAAAGAGATCACTGACATCATCATCTAATGTAAATGGTTCACTATCAGCATCCATGACAGCAGTAGCCCTCTGGATGGCCATGGCAGCAACATCCAATATTTCACCATCTCCAACTGTATCAGTGTCTGTATATTTTTTATCCTGTCTTAACTGATTCTTCAGATTCATGTGATGTTCGATACAATGTTCATTATTTAAATTATCTAATTTGCATACATGTGGTACAGATTCTTGAGGATGTTCCAATTTAAGTGAATGATTTGTTTTTAAATTTGTTGATCTTGCACAAGGCACCTTAGGATCTGTATGCTTTGGCACATTCTGCTTTAAATCTCTTTCAATTATTTTCTGAGTTGTAGCCAAACCATCCTGTTTCATGTCTCCATTCACTCTCCCACTGACGTCAATTGATGTACTTTCTGAGGTCCCAGTATGTGGAGATCTTTTGCTACCACAATCTGCCAACATTTTACAAGTGTATTTACTTTCTAAACATGATTGCACTTCAGATCTTAGGGAACTTTTTGTACAATGGTAGTAAAGAGGACTAGTGGAAAAGTTTGGGAAGTCTGTGATGTGAACACTATCTTTGCTTTCATTGACTTTTTCGAGCTGAAAAAAAAAAAAAATTATAGTGAACATAAATTAAATTTTTGAAAACTATTTTAAAATATTAAAGTTGCTATCACAAAAGTGATGACTGAAGTAATTTTTTACGATTGTATACAAACAATTTCAGCCTCTTGCTGTTGCATTTTAATCTTTATACTGCGTTCATGAATAAAAATAAAAGTTATGTGCCTCAAGTACTCACCACAAAACGGAACTCAGATTCAGGTTGTTCAGCAAACATTCCAGTCTTTATGGAAACTCCCTGCACATGACCAAATGTAATCGTATCAAACACTTTTATACGAATCATCTTGGACTTTGGAAGCTAAACAAATACAATACAAATTAATTTGATATATTTTTGGCATAGAAGGTGGAGATGAACAATGAAAAAATACAATGACTATAAAAACCAGAACCCTGCGGGTGTGTACGTTCCTTTGTATGCAAAAAGTAAAAGCAAATTTGGTAATTGCGATAATAAATAGTCACCAATGTCATTCAATGCATTCTATTAAATTTCAAACTAATCGGAGTTTGCCAAATTTTAGTTATCGTGGTATGGTAACAAGTGACAAAGTGTCTGATCCACTGCCGTTGTCGTTGTCTTTTCTGATTTTAAACTGAACAAATTTAAATACTTGTACTCTTTATATCTACAACAGAACCCACACATCGAAGAAGAATGAAGAACCATTATGGCAGATGTAAACACACACTCGCTCCTAGGCCGGATGACAGAAAGCCCTATCCTTCCTAAGCCTAAAATTCACCAAGTTTGAAGGGCGATTCTCTAAATTCAGCAGAAATAGAGTTAAAGCAAAATCTAATGAGCAAATATACAAGAAACTAGATCTTGAAATGATGCATTACATGTGGGTGGGAGTTGAATTTTGATTGGTGCCAAAATATGATTGCAGTCACGTACTTATTTTTTTAAAGATTATCGGAGAAGGGTGGAATAAAAATAAAAATAAAATTTTGTTTCTTTTTTAGCAAATAGTTTTGCCAAAATGATCCCGACGGAGGAGAAAATAAAAATAAAATTTTATTGGTGAATGTAAAATAGGATGGTTAAATGCTTCAAATTTATATAATTATGAAGAAATATACATATCTTATCTCTGGCGATATCAATTTTATTTTTTTTAAAATCATCAGTATTTGCAGTCGGCGGGTTCGCTAAACAAGGTATTAAAAAAGTCTTGCCTTAGGGCAAAAAAAATAATACTTTTTTTTATCACTATTTTAACTAAAATATGACAAGAAATCTTTTAATGAATCAATCACAAATTCAACATAGATATAAACAATTATTAACACCATATGCACCAAAGCAAAATACATTACAAAATAAACTTGGGTTAAATGTATAGGCCTATTTGTACGTCATTGCAGACTGTGAAATTAGAGACCTGTTTCATTAATACCAAAGCTGAGAACAAGTACAGGCAAAAGTAAAATAATTATTTATAAAAAAAAAAAATCACTGAGTCTTGATAGCAAAACAATAGTTTAAGTATTGTAGGCCTAGGTGTACAGTCTAATTTTTTGGGGTATTATTAGGGTAACTTACTTTAAACCACATAGTAAATAGTGTAGAACTTTAAAATATTTTAAAGAAAAAAAAAATATCAACATACGAAACTCTGTTATTTAGTTATGAATTTTCAAAAAACATGAGGTCAAGAATTTAGCCTCAAAGCCTATCTAACTTTTGTTGGTAATGCAATACTGATTTTGGGCTGTCACTTTGACATGTCTACAGATTCGTGGAAAAGGCGACATAACATAAATAACACATTGAAACATTGAGAGTGAGGCAGTCTCCACAAGTATTAACTCACAGCCTTGTTATATCACGAAGGTAGAACATGTTGTTTGCCCTTCGCATAGTCACCATTAATATAATTTTCAAGTCAATACGCACATTTATCATATTATAACTATCAGAATAGGATATTAGTAGTCATTCAATGAATCAAATTGACTGAGATAGCGATACATTTTGCTCAATAGCACTTCCATCCAGAAAGACTGCCCTAATATAAAACGACTCAAAAGTGGTGGTGGGGGTATATGTTTTATGGCGTATGGCTTGCATTTTTTATCTAACCGAAAAAAACGAACTTTTTTTGCACAATTACATGTCCACCAATAACTATTCGACACACTGTATACCCACCGCCGCGAAGCACCGTTTAGGAGCTTATTTGTTTACAAGCATACTAACACGTTGTGCCCTACATTTCACACACACACTTCACATCTGTATCATCCCAATTGTTCCACTGTGACCTAAGGTCACAGAGGAACTAAAAACAAAGCAGGCCTGTGTAACCAGGGCTTTTATGGCTTGGATATCTCCTCTTTCAAGCAATTTTCCACATAATCCAAACCACCCTATACACTTGCATCATCCCCTGAACAGTCCGCACCTACCTAGGCTCTCCCTTGAATTCATAGGTACCACCTTTAAAGTCTGGTTACAGGCCGGAAATGGAGAAGTATGTTGACTGGACAAAAATGTGACTTATCTATTGCCAGGCCTGGTACAGTTTTCAAATTTTAATTACCTTGATGTCATTAACAAATGTTCCATTCATACTTTCATCCTTAATTACAAAAACGAGTTGTCCATCTTCTCCTTTGTATACAAGTAACTCGGAATGCCGGCGTGAGATGAGTTGCTTGTGAATGCCTGAGTTGAGGTAGAAATCCACCTTTTCTGAGTTTCGTCCAAAAACATTTTGGTGCTTACAAAGCCTGTACGGTAATAATTAAACATAAATCGATGATGTAAATATTACAATACAGGCTAGACAGATTAGCCTACACAGGCCTAGTTAGAGGACGTGGTATAGAAAACTCTCGCCATACAGTAAAGTTTTTTAATTGTGCAGAGGATATCTAAAAAATCAGTTCAAATTGCTTGGAAATCGTAATTGCTGCATAATTGCATCGGTTACCGTATATATTAAGATTTGGTCAAAGCCTAATTTTCGTCAAAATCTACTTGGATTTTTCGAAATGCAGGGATGGATTTCTCGGCCCCAAGTCAACTCTGCCCCAATTTACTGTGTATTTACTAAATATATAAGTCAAAACTAAAGTGTTTTATGTCGTTTTCGCTTTGTTTTTCTTTTCATTTACATCCACTTAACAATAATGAAAATTGCATTTATAAAAATAATATAAAAATAATATTAATAACAACAATATAAAAAGGTATAATAGAACTAATGATGACAATAATGATATAATCATATATATATACAGTATTATATATATATATATATATTTAAATATATATAGACATATTAAATACAAGATTTTATTATTTGTTTTCAAAGCACTTCTCCAATGTTTATTTCACAACTCATTCATCCTTACATTCCTAAGAGGTCTCTGAGATCTAGTTCAGAATCTCTACTTGCTCATTCCACTCGCCCGTCGACAAAGCATTATGGTAGTCGTTCT